TAAACACTTTTCAGTAGTATTTTTACATGCACTTTTTAGAGTGTACATACTAATTTTCATTAATTTGCATCTAATATTTACTGAAATATCGCAGTTTATGCATTTTTCGAAAATACCGTTATATGGGAAGTGGGCGTGGTTACAGTTCGATTTCGCCCATTTTCAGTACCACCCTACCTTGGATAAAGTGCAACCTACATACCAAATTTCGTTGAGATATCTCAATTTTTGCTCGAGGTATCGTGTACACAGACAGACGGACGGACGGACAGACAGACAGGCTTAATCGACTTCTCTTTTCATTCTGATCATTTATGTATACATTTGACATCTCGATTCGTTTTGGCTGTTACCGTTATAAGAACAAAGGTAATATACTGCTGTGCACAAGTGCGCTCGAGTATAAAAATCATTTTTCAATTTTTGTTTCTTATAATTGATTTTACCAAGCCTTAACTGCAGTTTTATTGACAAAGTAAAGAAAAATAATATTTATACAGTTAAAAACCAAAAATATCTGTTCAAGTCTTGCACCTTTGTTTGGTAAAATACAGTATTCATTAAAATCTAAGTTTCCTCTTTTATTGTTTTTCTTTAATTACTTGTAGATATTTGGCAAAATGCCGAGCATATAACCATCACCGGTGGTCAAACAGTTGTCAACATACAAAGCCTGCGTCCTGCGAAAGCTTATCATATTCGGATGTCTGCGGAAAATAAATTGGGCGCCTCTGAGTATTCAGAGGTTGTTCAAGTAACCACTCTAGAGGAAGTGCCATCTGGGCCACCGTTGAATGTGCGTGCAGAAGCGAGAAGCTCCACCGAGATATCTGTCACATGGGATGCACCAGATCGGGACTATTGGAATGGAATACTGCTAGGATACTATGTTGGATATCAAATGTCACTATCGCCTGAAGACAAAGAAGTGAATCCCACACAAGGGTTTAGCTTCAAAACTGTCGAAGTGCGGTCACATTTTGGTGGAGAAACGGTACTAAGTAACTTAAACAAATTTACACAATATCACATAATTGTGCAGGCGTACACAAGTCAAGGCAGCGGACCACCGAGCAGAGAGATAGCAGTGCAAACCATGGAAGATGGTAAGTAATATACTATACAAAATCATTAGCACATAACAAAAGCATGACACGAGATGCACATTGTGTTCCTGGAACCACTGTTCTTAATCTACCTCTTTCAAACGAAAATACTGGACAAGCACAGAGTACTTCTTAGGCAGACAGATCCTTCTGAACTTGGTAGACTTATTCTTTCTCAGACGTCTACATTGGGATGTCTTATAAAACGACAAGTTATTGTTGTTAACACGTTCTAGAATCTAATAATCCCTCAATCTTTGTTGTCGACCTGAACTAACGGTATGCCTAGGAAAAGTGGCCTTTCGACAGGGTTTATTGACGTAAAGGAGTTTTTACATTTTCCGCAATTTTGATAAAAAAAAAACGAGATTTATAAATTCAAGTGCTGAAAAAAACTTTTAAAGGCAAAATAAGGTGCATATAACTATTTCGAATTCATTGCTATGCCTACTTACATAAGTATATGTATGCCACATTCATATGTTCTTATATGGACTAGACTAGGGATGCCCAAATCAGCACATATGTATGTATGTGTCGCGGGCGACTGCGCGTGCAAAGCTTTGCACAGCGGTGCTGGGCAAGCGCGGAAGCAAAAAGTTATCGGAAGGGGAAAACGAAGTCAACAGAATAGTGAGATTGTATGTGTGACAGTGATACATGAGTGTACATTGTGCCATTTTCGGCCCTTTCGGAAGCAGCCGGCACCTTCAGCACAATCGATTGATTTCGGCACTATTTTTGCGTAGCTCAATGCAACTAATAAATATTTCTTTCGGATCCGCAATTAAAAACAGTTTTTTTTACATTTAATCGTATGTGCTTAAACTGATAAATGATATAAACATAGAAACGCAAGCAGAAGAATCTCGCTTCCACATTCTGCATACGCGCTTAACATTTTCGTTTAAACAAATTTGTCGAAATTTCATCTCTAAAGCAAATATTAAATATCATTTAATATATACTTTAGATTTAAATAATCATTTTAAGTGGTGGGCGAGTCCGAGATGTTTAAATGATCGAGATAGTACATTCAATTCGCGTAGATTTTTGAGAACTTTTTTTGTTGAAGGTGTTGCACTTTTTTTCCATACTGAAATTTGTGTACATCATTTATCATTGTCTAAGAAAAACTTTAAAATAAAGCTTAATTTAAAATATTGGAATAAAAAACAACAACGCTACACGCGCATTCATCCATGTAACATAAACTGCGAACGTTCGTTTTATGGAAGAAAGTGCGCAACACCGCAAACAGAAAAATTCAAAAAATCAATGGTATTTTCTAGACACTTCAAACTTGCACCTTATTATACCAGAATGAATGGGCTACAAAATTGTTAACCCAAAACATGGCTTCAAGTGAACAAAAACTGTGAAAATTTGATGAAACTTTGTTGATTTTTTTCATTATTTCAAGCTTCGATTTATTTGCAAGGTTTTTGTTTGATAATGAGCTACAATTTTATAAAAAAAATAATAATTAAAATTATTTAAAAAAATAAAATAAATACCGGATGACCGTGTAATTTTGTCAAAGATGAAGACAATGATGATAAAACATTAATACACTATATAGGTCAGTTCATATTAATGAACATAAAATGAGATCACTATCGATAAAATGGAAATCCTCAAGGGAAATTTATAATTTCAACGCATGGAATTTACATACATTTTTTTTACTTTCAACCCCCGAATTGCTCAATTACTTCTATTTCTGCAGGATCGCCATTAGGTAAATAGCATTTCCAAAGATTTTTCCAAAATAAATAGCGATGAGCGACATTTCACCCGCCGGTGATAAGAAATCGCCATAACGCACATCACTAATATTACTGTTCACAATCACGTTTACATTCAAAATTACAATTCATAATTTCGTTTTGTAGCAAATATGAAATATAAGTATATCCATTTACTTAAATGTAAACGGATTAAGAATCAAAGTGCTAGAAGAGATTTGAGCGTTTGGTACAAAAAGTATTTTGTACTTTTGTACATTTTAAAATTAATTGTACTGAAAAAAGTACAATTGTACTTAAAATATCAACACTGTTTCACTGGCGCTGTACTTGCTGCAGCGATGCCAGATTTGAGCGTACCCAATTTTTTACCGATAATAACTCATGCGAGGGATTTGGGTATTGGGCATTTTAAAAGCCTATTAGGAAGTATACATATCTGTGTTCGTATAGAACAGTAGCTTATGTCGGAAGACTGGCCTTAGTATAATGAACCATTCGCAGCATACGATTGCGAAAGACTCACTGGCGCCGAGTCGTTGAAGAACTCTTGGAAAATAAACGTAAAAGACGTAATGTTAATGGCAATGCTAGCACTTCAATATTCGTATAAAGTTTCATAAAAAAAATTCCTTGTGGTTTCAAGAATATAGGAAATGGTACATTTTACTAAAGCCAGCCTCACGACATAAGCTACTATTTCATACGAACACAAATATATTCGTCTACAAATAATGTTGATTGTTTAAATTAAGTCCTAAGATAAGTTTGTGAATCTTATCATTGTTCTATGTAAGAATCAAAAATCAATCCCCTCGCCAATTAGAACTTTTGCTTTAAAAGAAAAATATACATTGCGTATTTACTCAATACTTGGTCTGGCATCACTGTTTGAGCATTGATGTGCTCAGCTCACTGTTGCCAAGGTCGTGCATTTTGCACTAAATTTAGTGCTTTTGGGAAACCAAAAAGCCAAAATAATTGGAATTCAATATTTGGTGCGGTATTTAGGGATGCTTTTTTAATTTAAGCACACCGAATGCATAGGTACATATGTATGTATGTATACACTATACACTAATATTCTACATTAAGATGGAATTCATTTACTGAATAAAATGTGAGGAATAGGTAAATTAAATAGGTTTTGCGTTGTTGTAAATGTATTGAAATTAATCTATTAATAAAAACGTGAGGAAATGGATATGTATATACATTTTTTACTGAATCAAAAAAATTATTAAATATGATAATAAAAACTTGGCGCTTTTGTTTTGGAAAAATTGGCTTTTTCTGGTGGCCTGATGCCACACTGGCTCAGTTGTCGTATAAGTACACATACATACACGCATATTTACTTGAAAATAAGGGTGTAGTGGTTAATATGTATACGTTGCCATCTCCGTACAGGTACGCTCGCGTGCTCGCAGTTTGCCCGCGACGTCGACTGCGTGCACCTCTGCTGTGCATCCCTAGACTAGACAATGAACATACTTTACAAACTGTTAAAATCTGCAATTTCAGATATTTGAATTGACCATGAAAAATCTTATTACGAATCATTTTTTGCAAAATTTCTCTGAAAAGTTTTATTTCCTTCTCTACATAAAGGTAAAATTAGTAAATAAGGTAAAAATATCCGCGCGTTAAGAAAAGGGATTTTCTTCTAATTAATTTTTGAATTCTTTAACCTAGATCCAAGAATTTATAGTGGAGTCTGTATTTTCCCTTGGATACAAATGTATGTTTTTCCACTGCATTTCCAAATTTGTAATTCAATCAACGCTTAAGTTTTGGCTTTCCTTTTCTACCGTGGTCGCCTGAGAGACACCATATGTGCTTATTGGAGCTCGACCCTGCAGCGGGTTCGGAGATAATTGTCGCTTTCGTACTAGTTACATTACTATAATAGCATATTATGATCCAGGTAGTAATAAATCGAGATATTGGTTACATATTGCACTTTCTAAAGGTTATTGGCCGTTTTAATATAATAGTGCTCCCTTATTACATAAAGGAATTTGTTATTTATCATCTAAATACAAATAATATTTTGAATACTTATCTATGTTATGTTTCCCTCGTGTGACCACCACGCAAATATCGGACTTAAAAGTACCAAAATAAAGCAATACATATGTAGATACCCCTTTTTACATAACATTTCTATTTCTTAAATTATTTTGGGGGCAATTCACGTCAAATGTCTCTGCGCCCTGAGCGGTGCAAAACAAGCTACTGTTCGACTAGCTGCGAAGCAGACAGAAAATAGGAAAAATAATTCGAAAACTATGATTTCTATAGATTTTTGTACGGGCTATGCGATGGCACTGAGCGTTTTCCAAAATTTTCCCATTTTCATGGTGAAAATTCTGAACGAAAATTTATTTGTAATTTTTCTGAATTATGGTAATTTTTAATATTGTTTTTAGTTATCTCAATCGAAAGATCAAGTCTTTTTACATATAAATCACTAATAAAAAAGGACTTTTTTTTACTTTTCCGAGTTATAACCTCTTCAGACCCGGGGTACACATATGTGCACCTTTTTATTTTTCCTCTAAAATCATTCTTTAATCAAAACGTATCTAGTAATATCATAAGTTTAATACTAGATTAGTGATAATTTAATAAAAATCGGTCAGGTTATCTGAAGAACTTACGAATAATGCGCATTTCCAAATTAAATGTAAATAATCGATTCTTGTTGAATAGATTTGAAGGCAAAAGAAGTTTGACTTAGATAAGTAGGCCAAGCATTGCATTTTTTTTATTGAGCTTTTTTTTTCTTCTTCAAAATCGATGAAATTCAAATTCTAAAAGGAAACAGATTTGATAAATATTTTCTGTTCAGTTTGGGACACAGTTCTATAAGTGGTACACATATGTGCACGTCGGGTTTCAATTAGTATTATTTTACATATTTACGGTGCTAAGTGTGAAAATGGATGATAGTGAAATTGAAAGACTTCTTATGGACAGCGATGGTGAGTTATCTAATGACGATGGCAATGAGTACGCATTGCCTCTGGATGAGTATGGAGGGTCTTCACAAGAAGAAGAGTAGTCTGATGAAGATGTCAGTGACGAAGCCAATTTTTCTAACGCAGCATGAATACTTTGGCGCAAGCAGAATATGGTTATGTGTGGCCCTCAAATCGATGAAGACATTTTGATAGCAGAGGGCTATTCAAACTACAGTGTATTGTACTCATTTTTTGAATATTTTGATCTGGATTTTTGGAAATTATT